GTGGTTTAAGTATTCCTGTTAATACAACCAAATACTGAATGTTACATGCCGTGTGATCAGACCATGTTACCAGCAATCCAGTACTCCAGTGTTATGAGAATCCAATATTCATGTTACTTCAATTGCTCATATATACCCTGTATGTGCATAAGTTCTTTTTTCTTTCACGTTTCATTGGAGGGCCATGTGAAATGCTTCTGTCTTTGTGAAGATACCTGAGCAGCCTGCTGTACATAGAGAACAGATTTTAATATTAAAAAAAAAATGTTTTTAAGCAAAACTGGTGATTTTCATCTCTGTTTCATGCTGCCATCCTACATTGTGTGCCCTTTAATATGGGTCCTGTATGTTTGTAGCCACCATTTATTACACTCAAATTTCAGGCACTAGTCACTTAAGTATATTGCATTTGCTTTAGTGGGAGTTATCCTGCTGTTCTAAAGATTTTTTTTTTCCCAGTTGATTTATTGAATTAATGGAAAAGTGAAAAAAAAATCCAAATACATTAGAAACCAACTGCCAAAAGGTGAAACACGAACACATGACAATGCTTGTCATGGATGCAAGACGCTGTGACATCAAGTTTGCGGGAACTGGGAAACTTGGAAGTCAAATGTGGTAAGACCTGTTGAAATAAAATGTCTGCATGTTTCAGCGGTGAGTGGGCATTACATGTTCCAAAACCAGGAAGGGTCCGTCACTGCCTTCAGTAGCATTTGAAGTAGTTTGGGTGTGGGGTGGAATTGTAAGGTCACAACAAAGTGCCTAGTTTCTAAGCCTCCCTTTATGTTTATTCACATAAGCATTGGTGCCTATTTTCTAAACATTTATTAGTATCAAATTGGGGGGGAAAAAAAAGAAAAAAGCAGCAAACTTCTCTGATGCATGAACTCAAACAATGGATCTGGGATAAACTCTAACTGTAGATTCTAAACAGAAAGAAAGCATTAAGCTAAACAGAAGTTGTTCAGATTAAGCAATGCTTTTTGCTACAATGTTAAGAAAATCTTAAGCATTTCAAGAAAAAAGGTGGTTCACCTACCATCCTATTTAATAAATGAAGCCTGCAAATATTTTCCACATTAATTGAATTGAAGTTTACACAGAATTGCAGTTTACACAAATCTAGTCTCTGTATTAGAGTGACTGTTTAAGAATATTTTTTTGTTCTTGCTCGATAATTCTGAGTATGATTACTTGTCTTGCTAAATATTGAGCCAAAACTCATAACTTTGTAGTTGGAATTAATCCCAGCAGTTATACCTATGTTACCAAAGAATGGTAAAACAGATCTATTCACTAGTTTGCACTCTTGCAGGCATGACATAGTAACATTTTCTGGGATCTTTACAAACTCCGTTGGGAATGCTGTCTGCGTGTTTCATTTAGATAGCTGACGTATTTTCCTGTCTTTGCACATTGTTAGCGACTGCAGCATTATTTATGCAATTTGATGGAGTATGTGGCTTAAGCACGACATACTGGCCTTGCCAGATAACAGTTGAATGCAGCTCTTGAGCCTTCAGTTAGCAGTTCCAGCTTTCCCCTTTTCAGAGGTTTTTTTTCAGATAAAAGCCAAATGGATCAGAAGTGATAAATACAATGCTGTTTTAGTGGAATGTGAAATACTGCCCTGGAAGAGATTCCTTCTTCTTTCCTCTTACGAGGTCAGAAAACATGTTCTCTCAAATGCCTTTTTTTCTTTTTCTTCTGTATTCTGTGCATCTTATTTAATGTGTTGGTTGGTATAAGCAGAAATGTTTGTCAATTGCTCATTTTTTTATGTTTGTACTATTAAAGCTATGCAGTAAAGCAGTTTACTACTTTATGCATATCTAGCTTTATAGGCACAGAGAGAGTGATAAGCTTTTAGTGTTAATGATTTATTTTATTTTTGGGAAACAAGAAATATAATTTAGGAAACTCTCCATGAAAGATTGCAGAGTGCATTTCTTCTGTAATATTCTGCATTAATACAAAATGGTGGTTTCCTTTTAAAAAATTGAAAAGCTCAGTGCAGAGAAAATATTCTAAAATTATCTAAGTGTGTACACCACTATGTTCCTATGTGTTTATTTGAAATTCTCTCCTGCAGAGGTTATTTATGTAGAATAACATTTAATAAAACTAGAGAAATTATGAATGTTTGTGCTCACCTGATCAAAACGTACACATAAATCTGAAGACACAATTTTACTCTGGTCTGCACCGAAGGGTGGTACAGCCTTACTAAGCCATGCTGTTTCTAGGTTATATGGTTCACTTCCTGCAGCAGGGATGCAACACTTTGTAAAAAGCGAATTCTTTGCTGCACTTTGAGTACTCACGGTGCAATTGGAGAAGGTAGAGTGGAATATTACTGCTGCTGTGGCGTGTGGGAGAGTGGCTCGGCTGGCACAGACTGAGTTCCTCAGGGGTGTTGCCAGTGCTCACTAAGGATGTCCCTGTGATGCACTGCCATTGTGGTCTCTCTTTTCGTGGCCTGTCCCACCATAAATTTTGCAGGTGACCAAAGCAATAAGAATAGCTGTAATGTTTTAGGTGTCTCATACAGTGCTGTTAAAATCGTTCTCATTTCAGGTAGCGCCTACCAATTTGAAAAAATGCCCGATGTTGGTTAAGCTATAGGATTCACCATGACTTTTGACGAGCTGTTTCAGGGTTTAATTATTTTCACTGTTAGATTTTGAGCCCTGTTTCTAGTCTGATATTCTAATTTTTACTCTCAGCCCTTTGTTAACAAATTTTTTTTCAGGTAGATTCATACAAGCTGTGATCTTGTCATTCCTTAAGTTTCTCTTTATTAAATGAAATTGATTAAGCTCCTTTTAAGATCTATTTTCCAATCCTTTATTTGCATTACAGTTGTTTTTCTGATTCTTCTGCAGCTGATTCTTCTTGATTTGTAGACATTGATACTGAATTATTGTAGCTTATTTAAACATCTAAGTAAATAAATCTTTCTGTCCCTAAATGATATTCCATATTTTAACAAGAAAAGATCACGTTAGCCCTTTGCTGCAATGTTATACATGGGAGATCATGATTACCAGATTATTTGCCTTCTCTGAATTGAGTCCTCAACCCATCTTTTGTTTCTAGATGTATGATCTTGCTTTCAATTGCTTGGCGCTCCCCAAGTAACTCACTGCTCTTTGCATTTATGACTTCCCTCTTCTTGTTCCCCACTGTGTATCATTTGCAGACATTAACATTGCAATGGGCATGTTGTCTCCCAGATCATTGATTATTTTACAGGGAAAACATCTGACTCTATTCCTTTCCTTTTCTCAATCTAAAGCCCCATGCTGCACTTTATTACTAAATTGTGTAACCCTCTACCCATGGTGCTTGTCCTTCCCCCAAATCTATCTGCGCTTCAGAGGTTCTTTCAGCATGTCTACCATACTCAGTGGCCATTCCTTGTGTCACGGAGAGGGGCAAGTGACTCATCCTGAATTGGCGTCAATTTAGGTTGACAAGTGGTGATGTCTCAGATTGGCCTTTCCCTGCTAGTGCAGGACAGAGAGGACCAACTGAAGATATGTTACAGACAGTAACATGTCTCTTCTAAAGCTGTCTGAGAATGTCGCCAGCAGTCAGCGTTGACAGTTTGATTTCATATTGCTGAAGTGCTTTGGCAGGGGCAAGAGGGACCTGGTAATATCCCTGTGAGGTTCTGCTGTCTTTGATTTGGGTGTTTGTGGCTAGGAATGAGTCTCATCTTATAGAAGTGATGGCACATGGTAATTGCAAAACCACCTGTCAGAAGAAAGCTAACCACCAGCTTTGCTTTAACAAGGAACCCCACTTATGTGACAAGATGCTAGGTAAAGAGACAAGCAGTCTTCAGCATCTTCAGCAGGTAACCTCTAATACCTAGCTCAGGTTTGGGGCTAGGAGGAGCATTTGCAAAATGTGTCTTAAATCGAGCTGCCAACAGTAGTATTAATTTTAGAAGACCTTCAGAGATCTCCCATCTAACTAGCCTAACTTCACCAGACCAGATGGGGTCACAGCATGAATTGCTGTTCTTGGAGTCTTGTGAATAATCGGGTTAGGGGGAAAATAATATGCTTGAGTCACCACAACAATTTTTCTATGAGGATGGGGGCCACAAGAAGGGAAGGGAAGGGAGTACATCCCCTTCAAAGCTGTTACATAAAATCCAGTGTATCAGATGTCAGTAGTAAAACTGGAAGAAAAGCTCTGGAAATTTCTTAGGATTTTAATCAGAAATGTGTAGAATTGTGAGAGACATCAAACTTGTGTGAGTATGAATGTTCAATAAGCATCCATTATTTCAATTTCACATAGAATGCTTTTTTATTGTTCTCTCTCTAGGAAATTCAACAATATTTAAAATTATTTTTACTGATTATATTCTCATTACCAGTCCATCTTTAAACGTATTCAATAAGGGATACATTCAGTGGGTGGGCATCATAATGGTTTTGCTGTCAGGAAACTCCTGAACCTGAGGAAGAGATGGTTGAATTTGTTTGCACACAGGAATGGTCCTACCAAGCCCATTGGGACACTGTGAGGGGGTAACGGGTTGCAAACTCACACAGCTTCCGAGTGAGAAAAGAATTGTTAAAATAGTACAATCAGTGTTCATCTCCATATATGAAAAAGTGTAGGATTTGGGGATGTAAATGTTCTTGCTATAAGAGCTGAGAATTCAGTGGAAAAATGCTAAGTTAAATGATTCAAAAAATTTAGAAACTGCTTTTCATAGGAGTAGATGGCAGCAGAATGAAACTTGCCTGTCAGTACACCACCAAGCTTATTTTTGAGAGGAAATTAAATCAAGCTTGCCTATCTGAGGACCCAGGCTTTGAGCCCTGGGATCTGTTTGTAACATGTTCACCTTTAAAACTAGTGTTGCCAGTGCATGTGCTTTTTTGTGGTAGAATAGTTTGATGTTTCTGTTCAAGCTAGTGGTAGCGAACAGCTCATTGTATCTTGTGGTTTTTGGAGGAATGCCTCCCCAACCATCAGCCCCTGGAGTCATAGTGGCTTAGGTTTATTTGGCAGACCAGCTTTTTTGAGAATTTCAGAGCCCATGCTACTAAAATAAGTGTAATTATTGCTCCAGCAATTAAAATGAGGTCTCGCCAAAAGAACTCAAGACACTTGATTGGGAGAAGCCTCTTACAAATGCCCAGCTCATTCCCAGTCAGCTGCCTCAAGGGCTTCATCCTCACAGGACCTGGGGTTGCGCATCTGATCTTTGCAAGAGAGGGTGCAGAGATGTCTTCTAACCAGAGTTTTAGATACAGAATATGACAGTCACAGTTCCAAGGATTGTCAAATATTTTCACTTCCTCGAGGCTGTGCAAGCTGTCCAGGGCACCGGGAGGAACCGAGGTCAGGCTGTTGTTCTGTAGATAAAGCCTCTTGGTGTTAACGGGCAAGGCAGGCACTTCCGTCAGCTTCCTTGAGCTGCAGTCTATATGCAACCCCTTCATTTCTCCCAGTGACTTACAACTGCAGGAGGGAGGACAGACTTCAGTTTGGGTCATGTGGAACAGCAATGATACGGCAAATCCCACAACAGTGATGAATTCTGTCTTGTTCATGCTTCAACTACCCAGAGAATAAGAATAATAATCTGATAAGTATAATTCATTAGCATATTTCTCAGTGCAGAACTACAACACAGCTATTTCTTCCTCAGGATTACTCGTGAGGTTTAGGTTTTTGGAAGAAAATCTTTAGCTTTCTGTATTTCCCACAGAGTCATTCTTCCTGACATTAAGTAACATAAATGCGACTGGGAGAGAGCACAGTGCTTCCATTTAGTCTCTAGTTCATTGCTTTTCCTTCATAATTGTATGAAATATATTATTGTTCAAAGTTCTGGAAAAGAACGTCACCAGGAGACTATGGTAAAAACTAAGTTAGTTTTAGGCAAAGATTTTGATTCCGTTTCTATATCTTCACAGGTCTAGTGTTAAAATTGTGTGTAAAAGTCAGTTTTCAAAATCAAGCTTAAGAGATTGAATAATTGTAAATGCCTAAGAATCTCCTTTCTGAGAGTGTGAAGATTCTAACCAGGAAGTACATATTTTTATGTGGCAAAAAGTTCTTTTTTGCTTCATTGTAGCTTCATGCGTCTCTGAGAACATACAGTTTAAGATTCGGATGAATACAGAATTGGAAATTTTGCATATCTGGTACTGCTTGTCTTTTAGGGATTAAATAACCATGCTTTGGGCTAGCGGGTAATTCTCCCTTTTGCTATGTCATTCCCACTTTTGTAGAGTGGATCCCACTAGACTTCCATCTTAGTCCCTTTTATTTGGCAGTTTAAAACCTCTAAAGGTATTCCCTTCCTGTATTTCCTACTACTTCTCTGCATTTAAAAATACATAGCTAGCCTTGGGACCGGATTGGAATTTGATATACAAACTCCCTTGCACAGGTTGGGGAATTTCCAATCTTGAAACCATCTTTCTTTATGATTTTAATATATCCCATAATTAAAAAGTATTTCCTTCTTTTTTTTTCAATTCATTTGCAGTAAGTAAGTATTGAAGCAAAAATACCTGACTGTATATTGCCTTGGATACTACTTGGAGAATGACAGATAATTGTAATAAGTGTTGGTTTTTTATACACTATCCACTTGAAGAACAGACCTATTAACAACAACAAATACAGAGTAAAACAGGGTTTTACAGACTAAGGCGAGGAGATAAGGAGCTTAAATTATACTAACGTAGAATGGAATCTGGAAAAAAATTTCTTCAAAATAATGTTTTCAAATGTAGAGATATTTTAGAACTCAAAAAAAAAAATTTCCTCTTAAAAACTTAAAATAAGCTGAGACTATTTTTTTCTCTAGAAAGTTTCATTTAATAAATACTAAAACTGTAGGAAAAATTGATTGATTTTGGTTTAAATTGATTTGCTTTAATTCACTTACAAGGATTATGTAATTAACTCTTCAAAATAAAGTCAGACAGCTTTAGATTCCTGATCTAAATACTACATTCCTGTATTTTAAATTGGATTAATGCTACGTAAAATTATGAACTTCATCACAGAGAAGCTGAAATATTAATCTTAACAATCTCCTATGTCTTTGTTAGCAAGTAGTTAGTCTGAATATCTTTGGTCTGAATCTAGATACTCATCTGTTATTTTTCAAGAAATCTTCTAGAGCTGTTTTTTTCAAAGTAGACATCTTAAAAGGACAGACTATCTATGTCATCTGACCAAAAAACAGTTAAGCAATATCTGTAGAAAAGGCAATCTCTTCTGATTTAATATATAGCAAGAATATATAGCAAGAAATTCCCAATCAAATAGAAATAAGAACTGTGGCAAAAATGCAGAAGAGAAGAGTTGGTGAGATGCCTGACTGACACTTACCCTTATTTATTCCCTCTTGATTCCTTTCCCTCTGCTTGGTAAAGTGTTGCAGTACAGATAGCAACTGGAGCTGACTTCTTAAAGAGTCAGTAAGGAAATGTGTTAAAGAAGATGAGCTTTTTCCTATGCATAATAGGAAAACCACTCCCATTGGAAGATGCTATATATGGTTGACATGTGTCATGGCACATAGTGCTTGGGGCATTTTTGTGTTTTCTGCAGACAAGAGGAAATGCTTTTGAATTTTTTTTATTGCTAATATATTTTTCCCATTAAACCTGACAATGTCTGGAAAACCTAAAATGATTATTCTGAAATCTAGTGGTTTTTTTCCTCAGCTGTAATAATCTACAGATATAAAAGTTAGCTTGAGCTTCAGCTGCTGACACAAGCCCAAGCAAGATACAAGGGAGCTAAAGTTAACCTGTGAAATAGAGTACTTCTGTTTTAGTCAAAGCCAGGTGTATCTGATATGTGCCTTTCCACTGATTAAGTAAAATTTGTAAAAACACACCATAGCATCAGAATAACTTATGTTAGTCAGGTGGGATCAACTTATATTAGTCAGATGAGATCATTAAGGGATAGAGAAATATTAATGCCATTACGTTGAAATAGTGGTGAAAAGTCACCCAAAATACAGTATTTAATTCTGGTCACCCATGTTCAAAAAAGATTAAGGCAACAAGTAAAAGGAAGGTTTCTGTGATGATCAGGGATTTGGAGAACCTATCTTATGTGAAGAGGCTGAGAGTGACCTGTACCCTGCAGTGTGGAGCAGTGCAGAGCCAGAACGACTCAGGCAGGTAGGAGCCCCCGGCACAACAACCTTGCGTGTGAAGAAGGGTACGTGTGTATGGATCAGTGGATCAGTTCCTATTTTCATTCTTGTGATATTTTGTGGAATATAATTTCTTTGTAATGTCCTAGTTTGGTTTGGAGTTTAGAAGTGAATTCCAGAATAGTCAGGAAAGGTGCACTGGGAAAGGCTTACTCTCATGGTTAGCATGGCTCCCCTTTATTAGCACAGCCTGGAGGGCAGGGACAGCCTTGGGCACGTATATAGCCTTTCGTCCCATGAGAGCTGTGTGTAGCTCAAAAGAGGACTATGATCCTGCAAATTTCTTCACACTCAAGTTGCTGAAGAATATCAACTGCTGATAATAGCAATGTGACATCTTACAACATAATGCGCTCTGTGTATATTTGGCTGGAAAGCCAATAATTCAGGATGATACAAGTTTATAATATACATGTATCTGTTCATCTAAATAAAGAATGCCATGTTTGTGTAAAAGAAAAACAAAAATGGGATTTTGTTTTCACTTTTTTTTTTTTGTATGTGAAATTTTGGAATAGAATTTAAGTTTTCCTTTGCTTTAGCTACCAAACATGAACACTCTAGAATTAAGATAGGAGTTGACATTTGGAAACCCAGCGTGTTGTGGATCTGGTGTTTAATTCAGGCCAGTTCTTGTTTAATGTGTTGTTTTGGGGACAGGCTTTGGGCTGTGTTCTGCATTTGGAAATGAAACCCAGGTGAGTTTCAGATGTTGCAGATGGGCAGTAGAGCCCTGCTTCTGAGCTGTTGTTTCTTTACAACATGCTGTTCTTGTGGGGAAGGGAAATTTCTGACATTTAAAATTATTCTGATAGCAATTTCTATTGTTTAATTCTTACTTATATTTAATGTACTTTTCTTCATTAAGTCTAATCAATTACCAGTAGCCTGAAGTTTGTTAGGAACTTCCTTAAGAAAATGACTTGATGTGTATCTCTGCTCTTTAGTATTTTAAAAGGTAATTTAGACAGTGCTGGAGGGAGAAGACAAAAATACTTTAAACCCCATTTGAATTTCAATCTTTTCTATAAGATGAGGAAAGTGATTCCTCCCTTATTGAAATGAATAGTTCATCTGCCTGTCAGATGTTCAACAGCCGGACCTGTGAGTGGACTCCTAATAACGGGAAGATCCTTCTATCTTAGGGATTGTTTAATTTTTTTTTTTTAAAGTACATCACCAAAGCATAGATTTCATAAATGTCTGTCTTCCCTCATGCCTGTTTCCTGTATCGCACAATCTGTGCCATATGTCTTAAGGAATGCTGCCACACAGAATAGAAGTTTTCCTGTTATATGGTGAAATCAAATGCTGCATCTGCATTGAAATGGATGCAAAATATTTGGAATCCTCTGGAATCCATACTCAAATTCCGTGCTGTGGGTAATCCTCACAAAGGTAGTCCTACGTTCCTCTGGCTGCTGTGTCACACGTGGTTGGAGAAGTAGCTGGTCATGCCGAGTCCCTGAATCTGTTACTTGTGATGAGGACCGTGGGCCAGTTTCTTCAGCTCTGTGTGGAGGTGAATGTATGCAGAGAATATCTGGCAGAAGCAATGCTTAAAATACAAGGCATTTGCATTTATGATTTTAGGGCTATAGCTTTTTGTAGGCCAAATGAGGATTCTTCATTTAAGAGGATTTATTAAGAGCCAATTTGAAAAAAAAAAGTTATAATCTGCTATAATCTTGTTATAGTCTGAAAATATATTTTCCACAGAGTGAATCCGTTTGAACTTTTTGTGAATGAGAGAGGCTCTATCTCCTCTCAGCGGAGAGGTATTTCTGAACACTCTTGTTTCCCAAACAAAACCTTTCTCGCTACCTTACTCCCTCAAAGCACACTTCTCTGGAATAGTTTCCTTTTGAGGCCTTGACTTTTCCAGTCAGTTACGTGGGTGCTGCGTCTGATTGCTTATATATAGGGAGAAAAAAACATTGAAGGGAGAATACTAGTTTCCTTGCAGTTAAGAATAAAAGCTGCAAGTTAAAGATAAATGTGTGGATCAAATGCATGACCTGCTAAGAGGAAATTCAGACAGAATATGCCATTATTTTTTATAGACTGTTTTAAGGAGTTATAGTCATTTATTACTGTCAATGACCTGTTCTTGACCTAGAAAGACAGAAGTCTTTCTCGAGCACTATTTCCGTTTCCAATGCTGAAAAAACTTGCCACATCACGTTGTCAGTAGACGGCAAAAGTGCTTCTCATTTAAGTTCTATCACCCTCATTAAATCTGTTCTTTCATATTTTCAAATAGGTTGGTGAGAACAGACTGACCAAAATATTAATTAATGAATTATACAAATAAGCGAATAAGCAAAAAGAAGGAAAAAAAAGATCAATCATGAAATTCATTCACACATCAAGGAATATTGCCTGCAGAAATGAATTAAAGAAAATCTGTGGTTTCTTTCACATCAAGAGTTATTGTGGCCCCAGGGCCAAAGTATTCCTATTATCTACTGCACCCTAGAGAACTAGCCTGCTAAAGCCTTTTTAGTATTTATACATAGGATGACTCTGAATTTCATCAAGTCCATATTCTACTTATTGTATTGTTTCCCGCTGCACATTTATTATGGTTTTACCTGATTTAATTTTACCTCTGTCAAATCAAATATCCCATTTCCTCGCAAGATTGTTACACAGGCAGATAAATTCTTGCGTTTAAGAAATTCTTCTCCTAAATTGTACTCCACCCATTTTATCAAATAATTCTTTCTCCTCCCACCCATTCTCATCAAGAATGTCCCTCCTTGCTGTTTTCACTGTTCAAAACTGTACCTAGTTGCTGTGCAATCATCAGCTATTGCTTGTCCTTCCACTAGGTGTCATTCACGTTATATTTTTGTTAAATGTTGAGCATACACTGTCTGAATCGACATTTAGATATAATTTATCAATTCAAAATAATAGTCTGAAAGACTGAAATATTATATTCTTTTAGGTTATTACCTTTTCCGTAGCCTCCAAGATAAAAATGTAACGGATGCACAAAATGTGCACATTAAGTCATCTGTCTAAATCAGATAGCTAATCACATGTTTGTGTTTTATGGAACTCTTAGGGTCTTGAGCCTGTTAATGAAAATAAATATTCATAGACAATTTGGATTCAAACTGTCCTCAGGAAAATATTAATACCGTTTATGCTAAGTTGTAAAAATGATAGAGTGCACATGGGGAAGCTTTTAGAGAGAGAATCTCTAAAAGCATCATTAAAAGACCACCATCAAGGCAGTATCCCCACCACAAGATAGTGCCTAGGCATTCCCTGCACTCCCAGTTCAGTTAACCAGCTCTGAACGTGCAGCACTGACAGCAGTCAGTGCAGCCCGTGTGTCTGTCCTGTGTTTCATGAGCTGAATGCGATTGTTGGCACCTTGATGGGAAGTGCTGGGCTCGGTAAAATGGAGTCAGCTATGACCCTCTCTGCCTTGCTTGCTTTGCTGAATTAAATATTTTGCTCTAATGAAAAGTAATTAGTTTTCTAGCTCTTTATGCACAGTCACTGTTATTCAAAATACAATACTGTGTTTCAGTCAAACAACTACAACACAACGCTGCGTTTATTGTGAATGTTTTATTTAGGATCAGGATTGAGCTTTAAGAGCAAATCTCATGATCTTCTCCATTTTCCATGCATGCCTTTTAGATGAAACTAAACTGCAATATTCACTCTGGAAATACATCTGATTTGTTCCAGGTGCTAATGGAGGTTCAATACTTGGGACCAGACTAAAGATAGTCCAAAATAACACGTCCTGTCCTAGTATATATGGTTGGATGTAGTGTCCTCAGTTCCAGATCGTTTCGCTGCTGTGATCCAGCTCTTTGGGCCATTCTGTTTATTGATACAGATATTGCCAGTGGGATAGCGAAAGAACTTTCCATAAATTAACCTTGTTCGAACGCCCTGGTAACTGTGCAGTCAAGCCTGCTAAAGATACTTAAGTGTCTTTACCAGGTTACTGCATAATAGCTGTAGTAGGATTGTAAAATGCGTGAGATTAAGCAGCACTCTGGTGTTGTGGTGTTGTCCTTGTTTAAGGAGTTTGGTGATAAACAAAATCAGTCTTCAGCCCCATTAGCTAAAGTCCTGGTATTTTCTGCTTGAAGAGTTGGAAATGTTGAAGGCAGGGCATTGAACTTGTGGTCACGCTGAACAGCTGTTCTTGGAAAGATCAATTAGA